GAATTGCCTCATTGAGGGCTTATGATTTTGGAGATTCCGACCCTGAGGTCATGCATTTTCTGAGTCTGTGATGCCAATCTCCGAGTGTTCGGGATATTTTTCCTTTTTGGAGATATTTCGTGATTTCTGTGATGCCTCGTTGAGGGCGTATGAGTTTGGAGTTCCGACCCTGAGGCCATGCGGGTGCTGAGTTATTGATGCTAATCTCTAAGTATTTTGGGTCGTCCTCGGCGGAATGATCTTTGCTATGAAAATGCTGAGTTTCCTTTGGAGTACGAGATGTTTTGGCAAAAGATATTCTTTGATTGCTTGGCATAAGTACATGTCGTTTTGCTACCGTGAGTCCGGCTTATGCGGACACAGTTCATTTGACTATTTGGCCCAGTACATCATTTCCTATTGGAACCTTGTTCGTCGTTCCTTGGTTTTTCTGAATGGATGACCTCTCGAGGGGGTGTCCTCCAATGTTCAGGGTTGATTGCAAAAGACGCCTTGTACGCTTGTTGGATCCTCCTTAGATAGCATATGGACGTTGCCTCGTTAAAAACCTTGTCGGTGAAACCCTCTTCAGGACAAAAGCTCGGCCGAAGGAAAAGAGTGCAATGGATGCCTTTAAGGCCTTGAGATCTTCAAGTTGGGTTAGCACTTTTGACTGCCCTGATCGGGCGCCTGCATATGGGTTAGTGTAAAATAATGAAAACGGGAGGTGGTCCTACCTTATCGTGGGATGCGTCAGCGATGTTCCGAGGTCTAATGTGTCCCTATTGTTTGGAGCGAGGACTCGGTACGGTCCTCCGCTGTGTTTAATCGGGCTTAGCCAACGACGCAGTTTGATTATCCTTTGGCTCTTTCGAGAGTAGAGATATTGGTACCGGCACTATGTTACGTACTGCGAACACTTCCCTTGCCGCGTGTTGTTCCGCGATGATGGTTTTAACCCCATCCTCTGTAGGAAATTTCATCATTAAGTGGAAGGTGGATGGTGTCACTCCCATGCAGTGTATCCGTGGTCGCCCGAATAAGGTGTTGTATTTCATGTCTCCTTCAAAGACATGGATTTTAACATTTTGGGTCGTGCCGGCCACGCTGACTGGGAGAATGATCTCTCCTTTCATTGTTTCGATCGCCATGTTGAATCCGTTAAGGACTCGAGTGGCGAGAATGATTTGGTCTAGCAGTCTGAGCTGCTCTATCACCCTCGACCTGGTAATGTTGGGAGAGCTACCTGGATCCACGAGCACATGTTTTATTCGAAATGAATTAACGAGGAAAGAGGATACCAGGGCACCGTTATGAGGTTGGGACGAGGTTTCAAAGTCCTCCTTGCTGAATGCGAGGGCATCTTCGGGTACGTATCCCCGAGTTTGCTTTTCTCTAGTGATGGATATTTTTGTATTTCTCATCACGGGTTCGTGGGGAGTTTCGACGCCCCCTAATATCATGTGGATAACATGTTATGGCTCATTTGCTTCGTTATTCTTAGCCGCCTTTCTTTCTCGGAGTTGAATTTTAGCCCGATCGCTCAAACATTCTCGGAGGTGACCTTTATTGAATAGCCTGACTATTTCCTCTCGGAGCTGGTTTCAATATTCGATCCTATGGCTGCGTGTATTATGAAGTTCACGTACTAACTTGTGATTCCTTCTGGGAAGGATCCGACTTAATAGGCCTGGGCCATTTGGCGTCCCTGATTTTGTTGATGGCGAACACGATGTCTGATACATCAATGCTGAAGTTATATTCTGATAGGAGAGGTGCCCCTGTTGGCCCCGTGTCCCATCGAATCCGCCTCTGTTGATGAGTCCCCAAGGGTTCTATCATCGGTTCACCAATCGATCGTTGTGAGGCGGATTGCGTCTCGGGGCATTCCTCCTATCTTTGAGGCACAGTTGATACCTCTCTTTGTTTGGTTTCGACTCCTTCGCCAGGAGTCTACACGGATATACTGAGCCCAAGGGGGCTTCCAGCTGGTCATCCTCGACCCTGATCTTTGACTGATACCGGTTGTGGACGTTCGACCAGGTTACAGCAGGATACTCGATCAGATTCTCTTTCAGCTACCTTGAGGCCACTGAGTTTTATTCATTTAGGCCTTGAGCGAAGGCCTGCACCTCTCAGTCGTCAGAGACCGGGGGTAGTTCCATTCATTCCATTTGGAAGCAAGATACGAATTCTCGCACCATTTCATTCTCCCTCTACTTAATCTTGAATACGTTGGACTTACTTGTTGCTACTTTGACGGCACTAGTGCGTTCCTTTATGAAGGAGTTTGCTAGAATGGAAAATAAGTCTATGGAGTTAGGAGCTAGGTTGTGATACCATATCATGGCCCCCTTCGAGAGCATTTCTATGAACTTCTTCAGTAACACGGACTTGATCTCGTCATCTTTTATATCGTTGCCTTTTACTGCACACATATAGGCAGTGACGTGTTCGTTGGGATCTGAGGCCCCGTTGTATTTTGGGAGTTCTGGCATGCTGAACTTCTTTGGAATGGGTTTCAGAGTCGCTTCCTCTAGGAACGGCCGTTGTACGAACTTCTTCGAATCTACACCTTTCAGGACCGGGGGTGCGCCCGGGATTTGGTCGACCCTGAATTTATAGGTTTCGACCTTTTTGTCATTGTCTGCTATCATTTTCTCGCTTGACTCGATCCTTTTGGTGAGGTTCTCGAGCATTTTTACGATTGCAGGATCGGCTACCGATCCGTTGTTGCTCGATCTCTCCGGTACCTGTTCAGCCGGGGGAGTAGCTTCCGGTGCTACTGTGTTGGGAGTCTTCGGGTGGCTTTGTAGCTGAGCGATAGCCGGCTGTTTTGCTGGTAACATTTCAAAAATAACATGAAGACTAACTTCCCGTTCTTCCCGAGCGGGGGCTTTTTGGGCTTCCTGTTGAAGTGTGAGGTTTAGTCGACCTGATGTGCGTCTTGCGAACCCATGTCCGCAGGAATCAGTCCAGGTGCGTTGTCGGGGTTCTGTGGTGGTGCGCCAATAATTGGAACAGCCACACCGTTTTCTCCGTGATTTTCAAGGTTGTCGTTCTCAACTCTGTTCACTAAGCCAGAGATTTTGACCTGAAATCGAAGATCTTGGACAAGAAAAAGTGTGAAAGATAACTTGCGTTGTGTAATGAAACCAGAAAGAAAATAATCACTATTATTTTTAGCCCTACGGTGGGCGCCAAACTATTTACCGTGAAAATGGTAATAACAATTAAATTTGTTGATGGGACTCTAAAAATACATGATCTATTTTTATGCTAGTTGTTTAAGCAGTTGATGCTAGATATATGAAGATAAAAGATAAAATGCGAGCTAAAATGAGATTATGATCGAACCGGGGGGTTAGCTATTCTGGCCTCGGACTGACCGATAAGGGGCCTCGAGGTCGATGCCTGGGCTCGAACTCGAGCTATCGGGGATAATCGGGAAGGGGCTAACAGTTAGGATATGATTAAGGGAGGCTCTTTATGGCCAATGACAAGCGACAAATGAAGAACAAGTATGAAGGCAATAAATATGAGCAATAGTGGCGGGAGAATACGTTAGAGAGAAAAGAGAGATGGAGAGAATTATTATTTATCTCGTGTAGAATAGTTGAAGCAACAACAGGAAAGCCTTACAAAATGGCAAGGATCCCCTTTATATAGTAGGGGAATCCCAACATAGTACAAAATACATTAATTATAAAGGTATGGATAGGGCTGTATTTTGTCCCGGGCCCGGGCCTTAGTGGGCCTAACGGGCNGGCAGGCCGGCTTTGTCAGACTTAGCCGCGTGCCTTAGGAATTCTCCATTTTTATTGTAGCCTCGATCAACATTCCCTTTAGGAATGGCCTCGACGATCTTTGAGGGAGGGAACTCGGTCACAGCTTCGTGTCCTCAAGGCCTCGAGGTATTCTTCTGAAATGAACTACTAGCAAGAAATTGGGCCCTCTAATTTTGCCGCATACACACTTGGATAAAAAGATATCATGGAAAGGCCCCATTTATAGGGGGTGATAATGCGGCCAACAATGACATCAATGCCTTTGAAAGACGAATCGACAGTCACAATCAATACGCCGTTGGAAATTGGATCGACGGTGATACGGTCACCTTGAAGAATGGCGATCGGCAGCACATTGAATGACGCTGAAAAGACAAATCCGTGGGATGTAACGGTTATCGTGAAGCTTTACATCGTAGGTATGATATCGTCAGCGTGACATCACCGCAAGAAGTCCGAAGAGTTGAATGTCAAAATCGTTTCTTATCACTCCTCTCTAAGAAACGCTGGGACTATTTGTGTACGGCGAAATCGGAGGGTCCAATTTCTCATTATCAAAACACCTCAGAAGACCATCTCGACATCTCAAAGCTACAAGGTTATGATCGAGTCTCCTACCTTGAGGTTCATCGGCACTCGGTCTTAGGGTAATGTTGACCATGGTCACAGTAGAAACGGGGATTTCCCAAGGCACGCAGCTAGGACTGACAGAGCCTAGCGAGCTACTCTAAGACCCGAGTCAGGGTGTCATCTAGTCGTCACATCTCCATATCTTTGTAATTAATGCTTGTTGTACTATTATGGGATTTTCCTCCTGTATAAAGGGGATCCCTATCACTTTGTAAGGGTTGGTCACTTCAGTTTCTCCAGCTGCTCCATAAGAAATATAGAAGAACACTCTCTTTGCTCTCTCATACTCTCTCTTGATATTATTGCTTTTATTTATTGTCTTCATACTTGTTCTTCATTTATTGCTTATCATTGGCCATAAAGAGCCTCCATTGATTTCATTATAATCGTTAGTTACATAGTTGCTGCCTTCGATCGTTCATAATTGAGCTTCGGGATCGATTTCGAGGCCCAGAGTCGACAAACCCGAGGCCTCGAGTAACCAACCCATCGGTTTGATTATAGCTTTCTCGTTAACTTTATTTCGTCTCTAAATCTCATATACTTAGCATCAACTGCTTAACAAACTAGTATAAAAATAGATCACATATTTTTAGAGCTCCATCTACAAATTTAATTGTTATTACCATTTTCACGGTAAACCCTCCATCACAACATCTTTAGTAGGACCAACAAGTTGACCAAACTCATTGACCACAATTAACTTACGTTCACTCCTTCCATGTACACTTAGCATCCTTGTTTTACGTCTTTATTTTTAGTTAGTACAAGATCCTACAATAATAAAAATCAAAAGTATCCTCCAATTTAGTAAAATAGATATAGGATGTCAATATTTTAATATAAAATCTAAATGTTCTTACCTTGTTCATTTACTATAGGAGTATTAGCATCCAATTGCACTTCTTGCTCTACTGATTATGTTGTAGGGGTGGTTGAATCACTTTGTAAATGGGCTCCTACCCTCTGATGTTTTGGCATTGGTAGCAAATGTTCTTCCATTAAATTTTTCAGAACCTGACGCTCTTTAGTTAATCGTATAAAGCTAGCTGGAATATTCGTTTTTCTGGTCCGCAACAACCTTTTTTTATTTGCCAAAGATGTAAGTGTTCCAGCTTGAACATATGTCGGGCTTTCCACTTTTTTCTTTTGTCTTGTACCTTCTTGAATCATGACTACAATTTTGAAGCAAATAAAGATATCAGTATCAGTGGTGGTAAAGAGGGAATGAAAATTATCAAGAGCAGAACTATCTTTGAGATGATGACACCATAGAAATCAGAAGTTCAGAAGTTTATTTCATCTTTGAAATGAAGATATCAGCAGAAGTATTTGATGGTGTTCCAACAAATTATTTTTTATTTCAAATAGTTTATACTATTGTGATCAGATTTCAAAAAAAGGGAAAACTACTCTTACCTCCAATCTTTCTCAGCCATACTAACAAATTCAATGACGACAATATTCTCTTCACGTAACTAATTTGCAACACCCTGAAAAAAATGGTAAGAAGGCATAAGAGGTTATTATGATGGTCTAAGAGAGGAGCGGAGACATGAGGACCAAGGCAACCAATGACAAGTAAAGACACCAGCACACGTTTCCAATTACATATCACACTTTTCAGAATTTAATCATAATTGACATGGAAGAAATAATTAATTTACAATCTACAAAAATTGAATTACAGAATAACCAAAAAAGGAAATCAGATCAAGTATAAGCAACTAATTGTAGAGTTTTTCAAACTAGCTTGAAGAGATGTTGAAGCTTGAAGGCTATTCACATAGTATCATCTACACACTATGATATTGGATATTACGACAACACCATTTTCAGCGAGCTGCAAAAATTGAGAATACATAAATCAGTTACTTTTTTTAAAAGTAATAAAATTCAGTAGTCAAAATCTAAAACATTAATAAAGTAGCATGATTTAAGAGGATTTATTTTGGTTATTTTTGGTTGGTATGATTAAAATAGAGACACAAAACAGATTGAAGTATATAAAAACCAAAATTCTCATAGTCCTCTGTACAATATGGAGATAAAATCCAATCACACATGTAGCAACATAGAAGTAGTACCAATTATGTGCACTTATAAACAATTAGACAATTGAATACTACTCTCTGTTAAACAACTTCACTCATTCCCGAGGCCTTAAAATTTCTAGTTCACAATTGAAAAGTTAATATTGATACATAAAAATGTCATATGTACGTATCTCATCAACTAATATTTTTTCCTCATCCTACTTCCATGAACTATTATCTATTTTAAGGGCACTACTAATCACAGTGTAAATCAAGAATTGAGTAGAGGACAAAAACTACATCCATACTTAAAACTTGTTCATTCATTGTTATGAGAAAAAGAATAGCACTTTCATACACAAAGTTACAACTAGAGGTTTAAAACTAACACTAATAAAATTAACATTAACATACTTTTCTCTTCTCCAGTCACACCAATCATTAAGATAAAAGAATAAAATCTTTCTTTCCACATGGAACAGTTCTATGAGAAAACACACATACATTACATTACTTAACATACCCCTCAGGCCTCAACACCCATTTTAGAACAGAAGAGCAAAACCATCAGAAAACCAATCAAAAAAGTGAAATCTCAAGATATAATCAACAATTTTCTCTAATTAAGTTTTAGAATTTTGTCGACCTCAACGATGGAGTTTCGAAGGGTATTCCTTCCAAACAGCAGTAAACTCAATATTTAGTACAAAATCAACTTTGAATAAAATTTTGGTTCAAAGAATTGAAATTCAGCTTCTCAAACACCAATTTTACTAAAACCCCAAATTTAAGCAATCCTCTTTAATTTTTTATCATAGAATGTTTCACGGGGTTCTCAAATCCTCACCAAATTTGAGATAAAGGCTTTAAACAACACAAAAATTAAATATCAAACATAAATTAGAACAAAACATAATGACTTCATAGAAACTCATTTGTGTATTTTGTAAGCTTTTTCAAAAACCCTTGAATGGTAGATCTAGAGACAGAGAACTTTTAAGCTATGGAGGAGAGAGAATCATGCACACCTATTGTGGTAGAGAACGATATGTATACTTGATCGAAAAATTCCTTTGCTGGATATGGGTTTGAAGAAACCTTCAATTCACTGGAGGGTTTTTTCTCATGAAGTTCTCAATGAAGAGAAAGGCGTAAGAAGACCACTCTTTTGATATGTATACTTTAGATTTTGGTATTACTTTTTAATTATAAAAATGGGAATTCGCGGGTTTAGTGAAATTATTGGAGGGAAACTAAATTGTCCCAATAATATTTTTTAGAAAGAATCGTCCCCACAAAGTTATTTTACCATACTGTCTTCATAGACATCTTTGTCGCAACGGTTATGGTACAAATGCGATGGTTTAGTTTCAGTACTGTCTTAATAGGCCTAAGAGGCTATTACAATAATTGTAACCCTTGCAATAGACCATCTATTGCAAGGGTTACATAACCGTTGCTAAATAACCGATGCAATTAGTGTAATTTCTAGTAGTGGATGTTGGCTATTTTTTGGAAAAGGAATGCTTATAGTGTATCCATTACCTGATAAAACGATCTTTTTCGGTAAAAAAAAATGATCTTTCCCTTGTATTTATAAATCTAAGATCTATTTATGGATAATAAATACCTTTTAATTTAATTAATTTACATAGCAACAATTTATCCATCATAGCTATGCCAAATCTCAACTCTCTCTCTCTCTTCTCCCTCAACTCTCTCTCATTTTACCTCTCTCTTCACCCTCAGCAAGGCCGTTGGCCATCTTCTCCAGCGGAGCTCTACTGGAACCCAACCAAATAGTCGTCTCTCTCTCTCTCTCTCTCTCTCTCTCTCTCTCTCTCTTCCCTTCTCTCATCTCCACCATCAGATCCAGCCGCCTCTCTCTCTCTCATCGCCACCGTTAGATCCAGATCTAAAAAATTACGAAGTTGCGATAGGTCAATTACCGACGGCAAAAATAATGGAGTAGGAAGATCGAAGGGGTCACCAGATCTGGATCTAACGGGGATGCCGGAATCCATGGCTTCTTCTCCTTCTTTGTATCTCACATTTGAGCGTATTCGTCTGACCGAAAACTTATTCCTCCACCATTGCTTTTCTAATCAGAAAAAGAAGTCCCCTCTTTCTCCTCCACTATCTTTCACCTTGAAATATTATTGTATAAATATAGTGTATTTTTTGTATTTCGTCAGAGATCTAAAGTGTATTTTGTTTTTTGGCCGTAGATCCGACAGGATTTGACTGTATTCTTTATTTTCAAATATAATGTATTTTGTATTCTCGTCGGAGATTCGACCGGATTTGATTGTATTCTTCATTTTTAGTATAAATACTGTATATTTTTTAAAAGATTTGAATGTATTTTTTCATTATTTTAGGGTAAATACAGTGGTATTTTGTATTTCGCCGGAAATCCGATCGACTTTGATTGTATTCTTTATTTTTAAATATAGTGTATTTTGTGTTTTTGTCGGAGATTTGACTGGATTTAACTGTATTCTGTATTTCATCATTTTTAGTGTAAATACATTCAAATACAGTCGAATACATTAAATTTTGCAACATCAAATAATGTTGGATACAACTGAATGGTATATTCAAATACATTTAAATACACGTGAAAAAAAATTAATAAAAGATTTAAAAAGGTGAAAAGTGTATTCAAATACACTCAAATACAGCGCATTGTCAAAAACTAGCTACGAAATATAAATACATAAAATGTAGCCACATATTGTTAAAAGGCCCCTTAATAATGTAAATATTTTTGAAAGTTCCCTTTTTAATCTTAACTGATATGATCCTCAAAATGACACTTTCATTGCAACTGTATAAACAAATACAATTCCAGCGAAATTTCAAGAAAATGTAAAAACGAAAACAAATACTATTATGAACTAATACTTCATTATTAAGGATAATAAAAACTCAAATCAAAAACTCTTTTTTGAAAAATTTAAAAATATCCTAAAACAACCTATAATGTTGTTTGCTCATCTATTCTCCAGTTTTACTTACTCCAACTCAGACAATGCACTCTCTAGTCCCCGTATCCCAAGTCCCCGCAATTTTCTAGAAGTTGATCTGCCTTATTCGAATATGTATTCCTAAAATAATCTTGTTATAAAAATTTATTTATTGGTTCAGTTCTTAAAATGGTGATATGCTTATATAAAATCATGGGTATGCCACTGGTCCCGGATAGTCTAAGAGGCTTTATAGTCACTTACGTTTGGTTGTAACAGTTTAACCCAAAAACTAATTATAAAATAACCAATTGAATTTATATTTTGAGGCCACTAGCAAATAGATTTATCCAAAGTGCTTTCAATGAAAATAGAAAATAATATTATAATCAAAACATAATTAAAATGCGTAATAAAGAGATTCTTATTGAATGCCAGCCTTCAATGTCGCTACACAATATAATCCTTCGAGGATATCTTTGAGAAAATAATTTTAAAGGAAGCTATGTATAGTCTAGTCCTAGTTTTAGTGTCGCGTCAATAAGTATAAAATGTATATAAGAAGAATATATTATTGAAAAATAGCAATTGACATTAAACTAAATTTAATATTTGTTTAAATGATAAAAATGAATGTTATTACATTGATGTTTACCTCAAAAATACGAGTAACAATTAAATTTGATTAGTGGTTTTAAAGATATGTGATTTAGTTCAATACCAATTAATAATCAAGAAATATGAAGTAGAAATGAAAAATAGAAGTGAATCAAACCAATGTTACTTAGCAGCAGTGACCTCGAGGTGGCTTAGGGCAGTAAGAATAATTAAGTAGGAAAAACAAAGTAAGAACAATAAAGCTAAAGGACAATTCTGATAAACAGTAGGCAACAAGTAGAGAGTATATTCTTTTCTCAATGATCAGATCATCTTACAAATGATTGGGGTCCCCTTTAAATAATAGGAGAACCCTAAATAAGGAATATTTCTATTTACAGTAAGGAATATTCTTGGTACAACTGTCTAACCGCCTAGTACGGAATCGTACAACCCTTTTTTGGAATTTGTGTCATGACTTTGGGGACGTGGCAGGAATCTAGCTCATTCTGGTACAAATACATAACGGTACTATTTCGGGCTCGAGCATGCTTGGCCTTGATATTCCTCGAACTCCTATCTCAGAACATTGCACTCTGTCTTCGAGCTCGAGTATGGTCCACTGGTCTCAAACTCGACCTCTCCCGGACTTGGGCCTAGAACGGACCGTCGAGCCTGTAAATCGGAGGTATGCGATTTTGACCATGTAGAGATAGTTCTCGCGTTTCTTAGAATAAGATGATAAGAAACGATTTGAACCTCGATCCTCAAGAGTCTATAATGATGATGTCACTCTCGTGACGTAGGCGCTCGAAGTGACTGAAATGTCCCGTCGGTTTGCTTCCCCAAAACATTAAATGCCCGGGAGTATTGGTCGGCCACCAGTGTTGTTGAATCGTCGCCGCCCATCTATAAATATAAGGTCCTACCTTTAAGAAAGTTTCACTTCAATTTTCAAGCATCTCTGAACCTCCTCCAAACCTCTCTCTCTTAATATGTTCCCTTTTATTTTATGCTACTACCGTCTTCTTAGTACCGGAAACAACCAGGCCTCGTCATCTTTTGTAACCCAAAACCATGGCGAAAACTTCTAAAATAGTCCCTCAAAAGGAAAAGGCATCATCTTTTTCTACTTTCCGATTGGCCGTCGATAAAGCGCCGACCCTCCATGAAATTGTTCCAACCACTTGCATTTTAAAGAAATACTTCGATGTCGAAAACACCACCTGCAGTACCTGGCCGATGTGAAAATGCATCGAGGTACCTTTGTTAGATAAAGGAGAAGCATCTCTAGGTTCTGAGGAAGGAGTGTGGTCGGGGGGACGAGGTTACTATACAGATCCCTGCTCCCCTATAGAGCATCACAACTCATGTGGAGGATTTTTTAAGTATTTATACTTACCCCTTCACACTGGGTCCCCTCGATCCGGTGGTGATTGATTTCTGTAAAAGGTATGAGGTCACCCTAAGGCAGATCCACCCTTCCTTTTGGTGCATCGTGATTATGTTGTGCTATTTTTCTAGCAAGGCCGATGGACTGGAGTTTACCCTCCATCACTTCATCAGATTGTATCAGCCTCAACTTTTTCGTGGACTGATCAAGCTCTAACGTCGATCCAAGAAAGCCTTTTTTGCCAGTGATGACGAGACCAAAGACCGAGGCTGGATGAGTCTATTCATCCGAGTGAAGACTTTGAACATCATCCCCGAGGAACAAATGTCGTTTCCTGCGAGATGGAACTTCTGACGTAAGTAAAAAATTCATTTTTCAGTGTTCCCTTGTGTTTTGTTCTCGCATTATGTGATGGCTTCAACCTTTTCATGCAGCTGATGCTTGGATGCCACATGCAATCCCTGACCTCGAGGACTGGGTCAAGAAGTTGGCCGCGACCTCCTCGTATGACGAGCGCAAATGGCGTGACTTGTCGAGGGGTAAATGGGAGGCCAAACATCATGGTAAGTTCTCATTCAAAATTTCGATATATTTCTCCTATTAATTATGCCACCTGACTCAGGCTTGTTTGCAGGCATAGGATATGTCTCCGAAATGAGGCCGGACTCGTCCGGGGAAGAGGCCGAGTCCCCGATCCTGAAAGTGGGGAAAGGCAATAGAAGAAAGAGGGTTTCGAAGCCCGAAAGAACCTCAATATAAGAAAGCCCCAGCTCGAAGGTTACGAAAGAGATTTGCTCATGTGGACGCAGATTCGGCCCACAATTCCCCGGATGATGAAGAGAATTATGGTGAAGAGGTAGCTCTGGTGCATCAAACCAGGAAACCAATGGACCGCCAAGCCCTCGGAACTAGAGACCTCATCCCGAGGTGAGGAGAACCCTAAGAAAAACTCGGGCAAGGACCCCGCATCCCCAGAGGTCGAGATCGTTCCTCTGCCTTCAACAAATATACTGGAGGGTGTAGTGCAGAAGCCCTCAAAGCTAATGAGAACGCCCCGAGAGAAGAGCTTAGGGCCTTGACAATAGGTCAGTCCTTTTCTTTGCCAACTTATTTCGAGGAGGCAAACGAAGAAGTTAACACTCTGCGCATGCCTGATCCGAGCAAGGTCATCGACGAAGATCCCTTTCAGAGTTATTTTACTGGGATCGATGATACCGACGACCTTAACGATGCATCCACCCTCTTCGACAAGGCTCAATATCTCTTTTCTCGGGTAAATACTAATTTTCAGTTTTGCAATTTTTCCTTCTTTCTTTTCCTTTGCTTGACATATCTTCGTTTCATGCATAGGCCATCGTCAAGTTTAGAGCCGAGCTGAGCCAATGTGAGGCCGAGCTTAGGAGGTTTCAGGCGAAGATAAGTCCTTGATGCTCCTCTGTGACCAAAAAGAGGAAGATCTTAAGGACCTTCAGGCTGAATTGGCCAAAGCTCGGGAAAATGAGACCGAGCTAGATGAGTAGGTAACTGTTATTTTAACATAGTATGGCCTTCTGGTCTTACTTTGGAGGCTAATACTTCGATGTCTCAACTGCAGTGGAAGTTGGATATGATCGATCAGCTTCGAGGCGAGGTTGATCAAGTTAGGGCTGACTGCCATAAGTGGAAAAAGAACATGGATCAGCTTGCTACTGATAAAGAGGTTGTCACAGCCCAACTGTCCTTGATTGAGAGCCAAATTCGGGGCCATAAAGCAAAAGGCCTGGCTCAGGCCAGTAAAATCGAGGAGTTAGAGGCAGAGCTTGCTAGAGCTTGGGCCGAAGCTATACAGGCCAGGGCTGAAGCTAAGAAGATGAAGGCTATGACTGATAAATCCATCGCTGTATATTTAAGGGATGTTGCGGCCGTTCAGGAAGAGCTGGGGGAGACCTCTGACCGGGAAAAATGGAGCAATGATTTGGCCAAGTGCTAGGCCTGGAGGGAGACTCTCGAAGAAATCCATGCCTGAGGGTTCAACCTTGCTGAAAAGATAGCTGAAGCAAAGGCGCGGGAAAGCGATGCCAGGTTTTTCGTCTCTTTCGATGACGAGGATGTTGTGAGTGGTTCCGGGGATGGGGAAGGCGAAGAAGGTGCCTCCGAAGAAGAGGGAGTTCCCGAAGGTAAAGCTGTTGACGGTGCAGTCCCAAAGGACATTGCTCCCGGGGATGTGGCCCCGAAAATAGATTAGGTTTTCTTTATTGTGCAAGGGTCCCTTGTGGGCGTTGTAAATATGTTTTGTAAAATTTCCCTTATGAATATAAAGTATCTTTTTGTTCTATCCTCGACTTGTGTTGAATTTTATTTTGTTCTAATTTATGGAAGATTTCGATAATTCAAATAATCAGCTCTAGTATCGGTTCAGACTCAGAACGTAATAAACCCTTAGGTTTTAATTGCTCAATTTAATACCACTTAAGGTTTTAGATAATCCTCGAGCTAAGCTTAAATCAATTTGATGCGAGCTCGGAACAATGGGACTCTTGGGTCCAAGTTGAGTGAGAACGAAGTCTTGGACTCTCATATGCTTTTGGCCCTTAAGCTCTTTTAAGTTGGCCCTTAGGCTCTTTCAAATTGGCCCTTAGGCTCTTAAGTTGGGCCATTTTGGCCTCTAAAATGGCTATATAATTTTTTCATCATTTCGGCTAAAAGACTTAGTGAAAATTTAGTTATGCCTTAGCATGTGTTTTTGTACCCGCTGGATTTTTTGAAGGTTCGACATATCGGAACCTTATTAGTAATTTGTTTGTATAAACACAATCGAATACCTCTTGAGGTTTTTTCGAAGGCTGCTGTTATCGCAACCTTTGGATTATTAGAGGGCTGAATTTATCAAAGCCCTTAGATTTTTCGGGGGGGGGGGGG